GTTCGCACCTCCCGACCCCCCCCCCCCCCTGGCTATGGACTTACAATAATAAAGTTATCCAGTTTTCCACTCTAGTAATATCTAAAGCATTTGAGTGGGTACTGTTGTTGATGCGTACCCAAACGATTGCAGATGCGTCTCCACATTTACGCAGATGCTGTGTGTCAGATGCTGCTATTCATCGAGGTATCTCGTTAACCGTCAGGAATAGAAGCCCGACAATTCGCTGGCCGCTCAACTACGCGTTTATGCTCAGTCATCCAGCAGCTGCGTAGATCGTCGGTCCTTTTCTACCTCCTCTGGGCTGTGAGTGAACATTGTAGTAGGCTTATGTGTATCACGCGTCCTTTCGAGGAAAGTGAAGGTTTTTATTGTGTCGAGTTCATTATGCTTTTCTTAAAGAAGTTTAGGCAGTCTGCATAGTTTTTAAAATTAGGTAAGGTCATGATATTTGTTTACTGAATTATGAAATAAAATGCAGTGCTTAGTTTGATCAGTATATAAAAAAAAGTACATGAACTTCCCACAACTCTATTTTTGCTGTAGTGGTAAGCCTTGTTTTCAATTTTATTTTCAGGCAGCTGCTAAGGTTAGGTTCAGTCGATATGGTAATTAGAATTCTAGCTGTTACTGGTTCTATAATGTTGAATCATTTTTTTGATTCTGCGTCAAAAAAACTGTTTCACTGGATAAGTTTTATTGTCTCAAAATACTGAGTTGGGTATACAAGTTGTATACATATGTGAAACTGTGAAAAACGTGGTTAAACTTAAAAGATTTTACAGTTTAAAGAGAAATACATAGCAAAGATGCCATTTTTGGTTATAACTTGTGGTTATTTTATCATAATCTCAATATATACATAACTTGTTTTGTGACTAGAAAAATAAAGGTTCGTATAATTTGTAACTAGTAATAGAGGCACTGTGAAAGTTAATTACTTATGAATGTAACAGTGAAACATTTAAACTTCTTTAATTTTGAAATACATGAAAAGTAGCTGAAAGAAAATAGTTTTATTTTCAGCTGAGCATTAAAAAAAGGAAGAGGTGGAGGGGCAAGGTTAAAGCTAAAAATGTAATCTTAGAGATTTGTTTATAATACTCTACATTTCCCAATTTAGTTTTTGATACCGAGAAACCCCAAGTTCTAGTTGGGTTGTAGTTTAGCTATTCTTTGTCAGTAGATGGTAGTAAGAGTAAATTGAAATAAATTAGTCATCTTGGTTGGTTGATTAAAAACATCACAGTGCCAAAAGATATTATGTTAAATAAACATGTATAGTATGAAGTAGTATCACAAATAGTTAAGTGTTACACAAAACACATATCATTTCCATTGTAGGTCAACATTAAACTGTATGGGTGACGTAAATGTACTGAAAACGTTCTACAAAATATCAGGTTATTATTATGTTTAAATAGTTGAATGCAATGAAACGACGAAATATGTGTCATTACCAGAGCCACATGAACAGTAGGTGTAGAGAACTGTTACAACACGAAACCTTACTTTTTAATTTTATAATTAAATTATTCATCATTGTGAGTAATACCATCATGGACATCACTAAAATGATGCTTACACAGGTCACTATGGAAAACAATGAATCAAATGTGATCGTGTTCCTTAGTTGCTATTATGGAGTATATGGGTTATTTATGTATCATCATATCATTATGTAATAACTGAATAATAAGGGAATAGTTTAAATATACAGTTTACTGCTTTTTATAGTAATGATTATTCAGTTTGTTACTACTTAGTTTAGTAGAAACAGGTAGTCATTGAGAAATTTGTAAATGTGTATGTCACATAATACGTACAAACACAAAGTAATTTATGGGAGTTGGCAATGCCAAATAGTGTCTAGCATATTATTCACAGATATTTTCTCCCAACTCCACACCATAATAAATTTTAAGCTGTGTGATATTTAGCAAAACAATGTGATAAGAGATAAACCAGAAGCACAGTGACTAAGTGGAACAACGGCTTCACTTGTATCCTTGTTTATTAAATATCAGCAACTACGAAATTAAAAAACATTATTCATGAAGTAAAAATGATAGTTGATAATATTTCAAGCCTTAATAGAGAGTGTGGTAGTATGTAAATGCTTGGATTTTCATACATACAGTACTCTTAATTATGCATGTAAGGTGTGGACTTGAATTTTTCAGTAACTTGCATTCTGGTCTTGTTTTGGTGATACTGTTCTTTAAGGGTGTCTTACATGTTTATTAACATCCCTTGTAAACCCAACTGTAACAGACTTTGTTGTTAGGATTTATTGTCATTTTGTTGTTTCAATCAGGAGCCTCCACCACTAGGCAGAGGTGGATATTCTTCCAAAAAAAATCCGATATTTCCCATAACCTCAATAAAATCTTCTAAAATTCATCCACAATATTTCACTGATTATAATTGGTTGAGAATAGCACTACAGCCATGCAATTTATGCATCAAAAATAAATAGTCACAGTTTCTACTTCCCCTTTATTTCCCTTTTTTGTCCCCCATTTCTTCTCTAATTTCACCCCTTTTCCATGACTGAATTTTTAAACTCTCAGAATTATTCCCATACCTTTTGGACACTTATTCAGAAGAATATCAACCATGTCAATAGTTTCTGGTTTAATGTAGAGGACTGAATGATTAATTTTGTTCATTAATGCAATAGCATAACTTTGTTTCTTGAATATGGTTGCATCATTCACAGACTTTCTAGTCACTTTGTATAGATAATTTGTGGAATATTAAGCAGGATTAGTAGAGTATTTCTTAAGAACATTTGATAATTATTGTAGCTGTTAAGAAAATGTATTAGTAAATACTAGTGCTGTAGTATTGATTGGTTGAACAAATTTTAATGGAGTAGAAAAGTAAGGTATAACTTTTTAATATTATATGTAATTCACACCTTTATGCGAGTTAGTGAAACAGTAGTGGAAACCTAATTTCAATAAATTGATTGTTGGTATACATGAAAACTGTAATCAAACTAATTTCAATTAGTTGATTATTTTTGTGACAATAAATTAATTGATTGTTGGAATAATCAAAAACCATAATAATTGGAAATGCTGATTTTAATTAGTTGATTATTTTTGTGACATTAACTGAGTTGATTATAACTTCAGTTAGTATGTGTGGCAGTAATCAATGTAATTGATGTTCTTAGATAACTCGTATATTGATTAAATCACCTAACTATGTGTGTATGTGTATTTCTATTATAAATGCTAATATGATCTTTATTATCAATTAAGCAGTAGAGTCCGACAGTTTTTAGCTAGTAACCTCTTTCTACTATGGTAATAGCTGTTGTCTGATCATTTGGGTTTACTCTTGTTTGCTTCAAAAGAAAATAAGTTTTTTCAAACTTACTTTTGTCTTTCACGATGAGTGTTTAATCTATTAGATTTACTCCAATTTGGCAATAGCTGCTCTTTTATCATATGTGCTTACTTTCTTATTTAATGGTGGTGATCATATTATCATTTGAAATCCCTTTTTCTGCTTTGCATATTACTAATTATCATAACTTACTCTTTCTTCTATGGTGATAAGATTATTTGATATTTTTGCTATGTTTATTGTTTGATTACTTGAGTAAATTCTTTCTTCTGTAACGATCTTACCTTTTGGGCAAACTGGGCAATTGGCCAGGGCCCCACACATAGAAGGGCCCCCGATGCTATGCCTTTTAATGTACTTCTATGTTTTCTTATCATTATGGGGCCTCATTTACTGAATTCTGCCCAGGGCTCCAGAATGACTAAGACCACCCCCTGGTGATAGTGATGGCTGTTTGAGTGTCTGTGTAAATATTCTGCTTTTCAGTTGTTTTTGTCTGATCATTTAAATTTGCTCTTTCTGTTGTTTTTTTTTTGAGAAAGTCCTAGAGTGTGTAGTTTAATTAATGTTCATTTTGTATTACCACTATTGTGTGAGAATCATAAGAGATGGTATTCCTGTTGACAAACAGTGAGAAAACTTGACATGTGATACATGAAGTGAATTTTTTGTACCAGCTTGCTTACTGCTTTCTGTGTGAACCAGTAAAACCAGATAAATGTTTGTGTCTTTAGTGTCAGCATCACATATTCCTCTAGTTATTGAGCATTGTCATGTATTGTGATTTGCTGATAACAGAACAAAATAAAAATTACAATAAATGAGTTTAAGTTGAGGATACTGTAATTCCTAATTTTAGAGCAAGCACGTATAAATGTCTAGAATTTGACTTTTCAAACTGGTTTGTAATTGACTTATATTGTACATTTAACCCAAATTGTTAGGGTAATCCATCAAAATGTGTGTCAAAAGCACAAGAAGAGTAAAACTGTGTTAAATTTTGAGAAAATTTTTACTGCCTAAATTTGAGCACAGAAGGAACCATAGTAGCTTTTGAAACTGCTGTACATATTTAACCAGTATTACACCAAGATGAACAAAACCGTAATTTTTTATGCATGCACTTCCATATGGCTGTCAAGCAAATGGGAACTATTATATTTATTCCAAATGTTACATTGTTTTACATAGACCCATTTCTGTTTGAAAGTGTAGTAAGGTTTTGTTTTGTAAACAAAGAATCATTTGATTTGATACAGATACATGTTTCCATAATGTACAGATTTTAAAAAACAAAGATATTGAACCTTAACTATGTAAATTTGTTTTTATTACAAGCTTTTGACTCCTGAACTGAAGTTGTCTTCAAGCAATGAACATTATTGGTTATTAGTCACAATGCAACTTAAAAAGAAGTGACTCTACCATCTGATATTAAGATATTTTAAATGGATGGAAAGTTATACAAGGAACTAAGTACTAATATAAATATAAGTAAGTGATTAAAAATTAATAATGAAAAACATTCCAATGAAATAACAAACAAATGCAGGAGTTTAAACTAGAGTGATGAGTTAAAAGAGAGTGGTCATACAAGATTGGATTTTGCAATCAAATGCTGTTTTACAGTTAAGATTCATTGTTTATGCAGAACAGTTGTTGATAATATAAAACTATTGTAAGTACCAGATTAGGAGGAGAATTTTAATTTTAATTTCAAATCAGTGTTACAACAAATAAAGATGCTTAGTTTCTTGGATTAAAGGTGTCCATATGGTGATGAGTCATCGTAGACCATTCTTTTGTTTAATACTAATTTGATGACTGATATTTTTGTGCTTAAATTGCAATGGTTTCTTTGGTTTTCCTACTTTTTTTTGTCTGTTGTTTTTGTGTTTTTTTAATATGTGGTCATGCTCCTAAATGTGACAGTTATTACCAGTGTTTTTGTAGCAATAATCTTGATGTCTCAGTAATGGTCTTTGATCCTCGTGTTAGATATATGTGACTGTTTTAATTTAAGTATAGCGTGAGTGTTAGTTTTAGTTATTTTTAGAAGCGATACTTTATTGCAGGTTTGTTTACTGTGTGAATCATATGTTGTGTAATTCAGTTGTTGTAAATTGGCAATTGTATTATTGCATCATGTTACTAGAAACTTCTGAGTTTTTCTCATTATTTCAATTTAGTATTATTGCTTCATATTATCGCATAGTGTATAGAATGTTTCTAGGCCTCTGTCAGTCTGTAAATACATGTACAAAATGTAATTCGAGTAAGTTAGACAAAGTTAGTGAGAGATATAGTCAAATAGATCTGGGCTGTGTGTTTGTGAGTTTAGCCTTAAAGAGCTCATAGTGGCAATTTATAAAGTAAATTATCACAGATTGTATTGTAATAACAGAATAGAGAAGAAATAATTTGTCTTGACAATTTGATTCTAAAGTAACTGAACCAGCCTGTGGACTCTTGACAAGAAGAGACAATTATTTAAAGTTCTGGATAAACTTTTGTATTTTAACTATTTAACTAACACCTGTATATGTTTCACTTGTTTTAATATATTTTGAAACAAGTGGACTGTGTGTGCTGTTTGCTTATTGTCCAAATTTATCACCAACAAGCCAGACACCTACTGTAAAAAAATCTGGTCCATACATCCATACCTATTTATCGTGACATCTCACTTGTGGTTAATGAGTTGAAAACATGCAACGAAAAACAAATTTAGATAGTGAATGTCCAACGTATTTGTTTATTAAATGAAAATACTGATTATAATGAGCCCAAAACAACAGTGTACAAATTTTGTTGGTCCATCTTTCCAATTGCAAGTGATCTGAACTATATAGTATTTAACTTATGAGATATATATTTATAACTATTAGACTTTTGTTGTATTCTCTATGGACAAATGATTACAATCTAATCACATTTTTCAAAGTGACTATTTTCAGTTATAGAACATATAGAACTTTATAGAACATGATTATTTAACACTGTAACATTTATCAAGTGGGTATTGTTTTTATTTCCTACTGGTAAGCCTCAATGTTTTTTTTAAACACAGAACAATTTTTGATTGTTTACAATAATAATCATACTGATATTATTAGTCTCTTTCTTCAAAACACAGCACTCTCTTTTCTTACCAGAAAGCTGGTTAAACTCTAATCCTCTGTCATGACTGTAGTCACTACCTCAAGGTTTTAATGCAGTCCCAAGGTTGAATATGGAAAATGGGTATGATCATGAAACTCAGAAGGATGCTTTGGTACCTTCTGGCATTCGACGAAGTGCAAGTGAGAGTGTGCTAAGGAAACATGGTTTAACACTTGACTTGGCTCTAAATCTGTCTTTTGTAACACAGTTAAAGGTAAGATGGAGATTTTCTTGTACTTAGAATAAGAAACATTACAAGGTATCCTAAATAATAGTTTGGTATTGTGTAAATTAATCAGTGTGTATGAGTCCATAGCATGTATTCTTGCATAATTTCATATAGAGGTGAGTATGTATAAAAATACAAGTGTGTGGTGCCTTCTTAATTAGTAAATAACATGACTGTTTGTTATATACTAATTATGATTAGCACAAAAAATGTATCTAAAATACTATTATCATTATTGCTGGCTTTTTAATAGATAATTAAGTCTCCTAATAAGTGTTATTTTTAATATTTGTTTTTCAAGTTGAAGTAGTATTGAGTATTATATAGCATTTGGAAGGTTAACAAAATATGTGAGGTAGGGTCAATAACTTTAAAGAAAAGCAACTCAGTTTCTCTATAGTAGGATATTTTTTTACCTGAATGTTCATGGAAGTATAAATGTGTACACACACCTCTGACTGTTTTAGTTATTTATGTCAAATGCTATAAAAGCAACCAATAATATTGATTGTTTGCAACTAATGTTTTCAGTTGTTTAATATGTTTGTTTACATGTAAATTTACTGCTAGTTAACTGAGTTATCTATTCCTTTATGATATTTGTTATTTATTAAATGTTTCATAGGCAATATCTTTTACTGCACAATTATCTTTTCTTAGTTAAACTGTAGTTTAACGTATTCTTATCTATTTTGTCAGTAGTTAGATGTTCAGGTATGCTTAAGATTTTATCCAAAGATTCTCTTTATGAATAACTAGCTGATGTACCTGTTCAATGCAAGGAGAAGACATAGCAAGGCCAGAATCTGTTTGCATGTCTTTCAGCATCAATTTCTCATCTTCTCTTTGTTTATTCTGGGGCTTTATTTGAGTGTGTCAGTTGTTTCCCTCTGCTTCAGTTATCCTAATTTTTGCTAAGCTTTCTTGATTTTGTTGTGCCATTCATCTACTTTTTCTTTCTCTGGCTAAGTGATGTTTTCTTTTTTTTACTGTTTCTGAACTAGTTTAGTTTTATTCAGAATGCTAGTTTATAAGTTATTTCGCAGATGGTATTCATTTGAAATGAAAAGCTGGGGTGGCTTGATGCTGTAAATATGCCATTTTTTAACTCAAATGTTAACGATATCACAAATCCCTGATTTATCTTATAATGGTATTGAAAGAGCTTGGTGTAAATATGATCATATATATAATATACATAAAATCCTAACTCAATTGGGATTTGAATGCAAGTCTTCCACATGAAAGTCAAGTGCTGTAACCAATAAGCCGCTTTCACATCTAGTCTTTGCAGTTCTGTGGTAACAAATATTAATTAATATGCTATCATGATATTTGTGTTATTCCAAATATTGAAATAGCTTGCTCTAAATGAGATCACTTATCAATAAATCAATAATAAAAAATTGTAAAAAATCCCAACTGCACTGTTATTTGAACATGAGACTTCTGCTTGAAGTTCAGGTGCTCTAACCACTGAGGCATTTTGAGCATTGCCAACAGACAAAGGCTTTTATATATATATATATTGTGTTGATGTATGAATGTTATATGTGTGTACCAGCCAAATACAGTAAGATCCCGCTTAGTGCCACCCTACTTTAAACTGATTCGTTATAGAGTATTTTTTTTCACGAGAGAGAGAAAAAATTATAAAAAATCCATAACTTTCTGAACGCTGCTTTTTTATACTAATGGTAGTAGTGCACTAAATAATTTTTATTTAATGAAAGCTGATTCGTTATAGAGAATTTTTTTCACGAGAGAGAGAAAAAAGTTGTGAAAAATCCATAACTTTCTGAACACTGCTTTTCTATACTAATGGTAGTAGTGCACTAAGTAATTTTTATGTAATAAAATAATCCAACAAAGAAAATAGAATAACAACACGCAAAAAACAGACAATGTCCTGTAACTATCACAATTTTTCTGACATTTCTAGTGACACAATATGAACTGTCAAAATATCATCCATCTACACAATATCGTTCTCATGGGAAAAAACAACAACATTTTCTTAGGAAGCGATCTACAAATTTCTGTTCAGAAAACAATGTAATATAATACATTATTTGATAGACAAAAACCTTGTTTGTTTATTGGTTAAATCTAATATAGTCATAAATGTTAGGGAGAACTACACATATTGACAATTCCTGAAAGAGGATGTGACAGGTGGGTGTGGCAGAAGGGTTTAATCCATTAATGACTAATAAATGGTTTGTACAGTACACACACTTCATCCTATGCTTCCACACAAATAGAATAAGCTTATTTTTCTGCTTCTGAGCAAATTTTTTTTTACTCTTTCCAGAAGGAACTCAGCATCTCTCGTCGTGGAAGGTAAGTACTTATGTAGAAGGTTTAAAAAGTCAAATGTACAAATTGTTTTAGTAAAAGAAATACTCGTTGTAGGACTTGGGTTATTATATACGTGAACCTGTTATTTTAAAAACACTGGATTAGATAAAATAGTTGTATAAACTTTTGTTATTTTTGAAATATTCATTGTTACTTTTCATAAAAAAATTAATTTGCTTAAAGTCATTTACTGTGTTATAATTCATTTATTCCATGCTCGCAAGTTTCATTATGAGTTGGAATATGTAGTTAAAACATTATGCCATTTAATTTCATGATAAGCAATCATTGATATTGCTTAAATTTTACAATTAGAAAATAAATTAAAAATATATGAGAATGTTGAAAAAAAAATTGATAAATTAAACAATGTATCCAAATACATCTTGACTGGTGTAGTGAAATTAATAAATTAAACAATGTATCCAAATACATCTTGACTGGTGTAGTGAAATTAATAAATTAAACAATGTATCCAGATACACCTTGACTGGTGTAGTGAAATTAATTAGCACTACCTTATTTCACATACACTCTACCTTGCTATTGTGCTAATAAATTATATATAACCAGTGTATAAGAAACTACATTTTACCTAAAATATATTTGGTGTAACATGGTTTTTCTTTGCATAGCTTTTTAATTGTTTCGTTACTGCTCATAGTGTCAAAAACACCAGATGGAAATCTCAATTGTTTTGAACAAAATTTCAAAACTTGTTTATTTAAGTTGTTCATGCCTCAGTCTGTCAAAGGTGTGTTGTGAAATTACTTAGTGAAAGATGAGTATCTGTAAAGCAGAGTTGGCCAACCTGTGACACACAAGGCAAAAACTTGCAGAATGTTGTGGCACATAGTGGCCGACCTGTGGCACTCAGGGCAAAAACTTACAGAATGTTTTGACATGTAACACAGATTTTGTTTGGAATTTTTCACACTTAAAGGTAATGTTATTAAAATATATGTGATGTTATTGATTATTTAATTTAATTTGTAATAACTTAATGTGGCTGCTTGAACCATATCCCCATTTCTATGGACTTTGGTTTGGAGTGCTGTTTCATGTTTATGGTCCTTGTATAAGATTCAGAACTTAAAATTGGCACAACTGTTAAAGAGGTCAGCTACCCATGCTGTAAAATCCAAGTATAGCTTTACCTTTGTATTTTGGAAAAACATATTTCTCCATTAATCAGTTTTGACGAGATTGATTTTACAAAGAAAACATATTCTGAATTTGAAACTTTTTTTTTCCCCCCCCAAGTCGTGTAACATCAAGAAAAAGTTTTATCTGCAATACTTCACCCACTTTACCAAGGGGACATTCACCTGTTTGCCAATGTAAGTATCTAGGCCTTTAATTTTAACATCAACTAATTGAACCACATGCATAATCATTCATCAGCTAACCTACATCAACAATAATAGCATCATTCATTACATTTTATTGTGTATAGTTATTAATGAATATTTTCATACTAGTGTTATTATCTCATGCTAACATGTAAAACTGGTTATTTCCAAATCTAGATAACCTTTATTGAATACATTGAACATCAACTTCAAAAAACATAAACTATTATCTTAAGTGCTATTTTTATAGTAATTATACCTTTCCTGTGCAATTGGATAGTTCTGCTTTCTTTACGATACATTACAGAACTGGAAAGATAATTAAACTATGCTCAAACATGGAATGGCTGATTCCTTGTAAGCTGACTTACTTGTTTGTGTTGCATGATATATTCTTTCTTAACTCGAGTTCTTTTACTTGTGTGTGGGTAATATGAGGGTGAGGATGGAAGGTGAAGCTTTGAGGAATAACATTTTTTTTACTTAGAATTTTTCTTTAAGTTCATTAATCCTTTTTCATCTAAATAAACATACACTTCTTTTTATACCATGATTTTAGTGTGTTTACACAAGCATGTATGTGTGTTAGCTCTGTGATGAATGGAGTTTTATTCTCTGAGAATTTGAAATTTATTAAAGTGAAGAAATGGATATCAACAAATTAATCAAAAGAAATATGTAGACCCCACATCAACTCTGTACAGCTCAGCAGCATTACCCCTAGTATAACCAAAGGTTGACCCCACATCAACTCTGTATGGTTCAGCAGCATTACCCCTAGTATAACCAATGGTTGACCCCACCTCAACTCTGTATGGTTCAGTAGTATTACCCCTAGTATAACCAAAGGTCGACCCCACCCATACAGAGTTGAGGTAGGGTCAACCTTTGGTTATACTAGGGGTAATGCTGCTGAACCGTACAGAGTTGATTGGGGTCGACCTTTGGTTATACTAGGGGTAATACTACTGAACGTCAACTCTGTAGGGTTCAGCAGTATTACCCGTAGTATAACTGAAGGTCGACCCCATATCAACTCTGTATGGTTCAGCAGCATTACCCCTAGTATAACCAAAGGTCGACCCCACGTTAACTCTGTAGGGTTCAGCAGTATTACCCCTAGTATCACCACAAGTGGACTCCAACTCACTTCTATACGATTCAGCAGTATTACCTCTACTATAACCTAATTTTTGTGTTAGTTCAAAATATTTTGGTGCAGTTGTACTGTTTGTAAGTAAATGTTGAGTTGCTGGAAATTGTGTATTTTTAATTATATTTAATGACTTAGAACATGGAATAAAAAATCGTCCTTTTAAATGAAATGTTTATTTATTGTATGTTTGTTTTATCTTAATTCTTCAGACAGTCCTGCTGAAAGTCCACGGAATATGTCTCCCAGTCAGCATCTTCCACTTGCTGCAGCTAAAAGGTTTGTAAAAAAAGTCATAATAATTACAATTATACACAAACAAAAAAACATTTTTTTTTAAATTCTCTTACTCAAGATGGGATTTTTTTTCCTGCCATTTGTAGTCTTTCATAAGTAAACATTTGTATCTAATATAGTATAGCTTTAATACTTGTTAATTATTGTTTTAATTTACTCTTTCATTCATTCAAAAACAGTGTAAGTAACGGTCTCGTGGTGTTTTGTGAAACAGTGAAGTTTATGTTGAACTTAAAAGGTTGAAACTCGTGATCAGTTTGAGTGAACTTAAGAGTAGACTTAAAAATTATGATCATCATTTAGAAAGCATTTCTTTTTTTTCTTTTGCTCAATTGTTATTACCTTTAATAAGAAAAAATATATTTCTGTTTTTTATGCATTACTTTGTCAAAAAATTATATTGCATACTCTTATACTCTGTTCCTTTCTTTGGGACTGTAACATGTAGCATTTCAAAAGCCATGCTTGCCTTGAGTTTTAGTGTTGCTTTTCTCTCCATTGTCTTAAATGAAATATTATTTACACCAGATATCAAAGTGGATACCATGAAAATAGAGCTTTGTTGAACACTGAGAAATTCTGATATTTATTACTTCTGACAGCTACTAGTGTAGTAAGTCCATAAATGGAAAACTGTAAATTAACTTAAAACATAGGGTTAACAGCTTTTAGCCGGATGTGTTAAATCCATATATCCAGGTTACTAAGTTTTAGTTTTTTGGGAAAGGCTCAAAATGTGAAAAAAAATTATATATATAACATTCATTTTCCTTCCATAATTTAAAGTATTTTGTTTATAAATTAAAAGAAATAGCTATTTGCAGCCTTTTTTTTTTTTTCTTATAAAACCTGGCAAGTAAGTGTTTGCTATAAGCTTGTTTCATTTTCAGGGATTTAAAGCATTAATTTGCATTTTTTTT